ACCCATAATTGGGTCCCAAGCCCAACTTTGGGAACCAAAGTGCAGTGGTTCCCAAACTTTTCAGCTTTTGACCCAAATAGCAGAGACCTGTGCCCCCAGCTATTTTTGGATGATAAACATTTGCAACTAAATATGGATATAGTTTTTTATCCGACATTTATCCATTTTAAATACACTAACCTCACTCCTTTGTAAAGACTAAAGCAAAAATGTAATTAATTCAGAAAATCTTTTCAGGACCCCACCTTGATGTTTCGGGACCCCACTTTGGGTCCCGACCCCAACTTTGGGAACCAGAGTGCAGTGGTTCCCAAACTTTTCAGCTTTTGACCCAAATAGCAGAGACCTGTGCCCCCAGCTATTTTTGGATGATAAACATTTGTATCAGGTCAACAAAACATGAACATAGTAACAATATTTTTATACTACATTTATCCATTTTAAATACACTAACCTCACTCCTTTGTAACAACTAAAGCAAAAATGTAATTAATTCAGAAAATCTTTTCAGGACCCCACCTTGATGTTTCGGGACCCCACTTTGGGTCCCGACCCCAACTTTGGGAAACACTGTAATAGAATGTAGGAAATTAATTCCATATAATTACAATTATAAATAATGTTTTCAATTTTTATTTTCTCTTTCATGGGAAGAATTTTGTCAGTGAGAAGCAGACTTGGCCTGTGGCAGTTCAGCCGTCTGCACTGTAGTCCTATAATCTGAGACTGCAGGTTTGAGTCCAGGTTGAATCAGGAAAAACRACAGTTGCTGAACCTTTCCTAAAAATTTGCTTGGTTTGAACAACACAGAATCTGAAAACTGCCAACTGGGTCTAAAAATTCTTTGCTGCTAAATATTTTATTTTACTGCCAGGTTTTGTTTTCATGTGCAGAAATAAGGTGCACCAACCACAACTCCTCCAACAATTAAACTTATTATAACTTCTGGTTTACAGTCCAAACAAGTCTTGTTTAGATTATTTTAAACCAATAAGATTTGTTTGTTTGTTTGTTTTTCATAATATGTGTGTGCTGCATATTTCGACTGTAACATTTTTCATGTGAGTAAAGAAGAAAACTTTACATTCTGGAAACAAAAAAAAGTACTTTCTTTGCACATTCTGTAAAATTACCATATTCTCAGCCTTACTAAAGAATTTATGATAAACCACTTAAAACTGTGTCAACAGCAGGAAAAAAATGACAGGATTAAGCTTTAATTTAAATAACAAGGAGGAAACTGCAAACGCATTTCTTAATGCATGTCATAATAAATTAAGCTTGTTTTTCAAGAACGTTTTAAAAGWTTTTACAGTGATTAAATCTGGCTTCCTTTAATGCTTTTATCTCTACCACAAAAGGTTGTTTGATGGCTTCACTATATTAAGCAAGTGTCTTAAATGTAGACAAAAAGTCTTTTAATGTCACCTCACAAAGTGCAGAGAGAAACCACCCCACGTTGACCTGACGTTAACCTTCCCTAACATGAATCTTGTCCCACAGAAGTGAGTTTAAAAGTAAAAAGTACTAATCAAACAATAAAAAACCTGTTGTTTTCACAGCCATAGAAATGTCTGATAATAAAAGGAGGTCATGTGGAGGAGACGTTTGGGTGTGTTGCACTGAAAGTGGGAGGGCCGCTCCCATTTTCAGGAAGAGCTCAGCACCTGTTGGTTTATTATTCACAGCAGAGAGCCTGAGGTGAAGGACAACAGAGGTGCTCAACACAGACCAACATGCAGAGTAAGTTCTACCTTTTAACCACATACTGCGTCTTTTTTAATAAGTCATGTTTAAATCTTCTTGACAGAGTGAACAAAGCTGCATGTTTACCTCTTTTGTTTGTTGAGTTGTGTTTTTCCTGAAGTAAGAAGATGATCACTAAAACAACACATGTTTGACTCAGTTAAAAAAAGATCCAGTGTTGTATAAAGTACCACAAAGTGATACTTGAGTAAGAGTATAAGTTTCTTACCAAAAAATGACTTTGGTAAAAGTTAAAGTCTCCTATAGGAATGTTACTTGAATATTTTTTGTACTTATTGAAAGTAAAAGTATTGATTTAAAATGAGCAGTTAGATTTTCTGTAATGACATTTATTAGGAGGTGACCTCCCCAAAAACTGCAGAAATGACTATATTGTATTAAAATAATTGATGTTAAATTTAGAGTGCCCATAACTTTTCTCCAAAATGAAAATCTATCTGAGGGCTACGGCCAAACACAATAAAATAATTCATGAAATACAAATAC